AGAAGTTGAATGATTTATAATAAAGAAGGGAGTAATTTATAATTGACTTCCTCATCATGCAGTGAGAAACAATTTACAGAAGGGCTCTAATTACCCAAAAATAAAAAAAAAATAAAAATAAAATAGATGTCTTTGAAATTTACAAACATCCCCTCGATACTTGCCTCTTTTCACAAATTCAATCCTCAACGAAGAAATTTTTATTTAAGAAACACAAATTTCAAGGGGTGGTGTGTAATACTTGAGGATGGTGGTTTTCTGCAATTATGAGAGATAATGAAACAATCCTACACTATTGCAACATCCTATTTGGGTTCTGTGATGAAACTAATTAGCCTAAAATTAATTATACAACTTAACAAACAATCCTACACAAAGACGTAAGGAGAATAAGAAACCTTAAGAACAATGATACATTAGTAATTATCAAAGTGTATAATTTACCTTGTTATAAGGATTATCAATAGATGGTCTTTCTTCAGCACAACCTATTAATTAGAAGAAATATATAAGATGGTAAAGAAAATGCTTGAACACAGAAAAACCCATTCAGTAATTCAGGGAACTCGCTTGTCCTTTGATTTCCCCTGTTAGCAAATACAAGTCATAATAATAGTTGTATTAGCAAACTCTTTCAACAGTTACAACAATAAATAAGCAGCCAAAAGGTAAGGACGGATACCTTCAAAAGCATATGTAACTACTTGTATTCCAAAAAATTCTATCCTCTTTAGTGCCTATGAGAATAATCAATCAGTTAAATAACTAAAGACGTCAAGAAATGAGAAATTACAAGCATTTCACACATTGATTTATACTAATAACAACAGAGAATGTTGAAATAGACGGTAGCTTAATGCCAACTACCAAGCTCAGAGCATCATCTGGTGGATATCTTGCAAACCAAAACAAAACACAAAAAGAAACAACATCCGAGGGGATCCAACAAATCAAAAACACGAATAAAACTAAAAACACCACCTGTCAGATGTCGGATCTGCACAACTCAGCCACACGGATCTCGAGGAATTCTACCGCAGGTAGAGCGAGCCATCGATGGCGATGATATCGTCTCTTCGCGGTGCACATCAAACAAAAAATAAAAATAAAGAACAGACACACGTACTCAGACAGAGAGAGAGAGCGAGAGAGAGAGAGACTAACACGAAAACATAAAATTTGACATATTTTTCAACTACCTTTAGAGTCGAGGAGGTGTCAAGAGAAAAAGCGGCGAAGAACAACGTCCAAACACAAAAACTCGTCAAAAATTCGTTCCTGCGTTAGGATAACAGCAAAAAGTCACTAAAAACATGTGTGGACCTCCATTTTAAACACAGTCATACAACAAATTTCTGCAAATACAAACACATATAGTGCGCTTAAAAGTTGGATGTTGACAGTGACATAAAACTACTTTCACCCAAGTCACTTAATCACTTATTACTAAGCCTCCGAATTCAAATCATTTCTTAATTTTCCTTTTCCAAGTGGAGAATCATATATCATTACTTTTTCTCTTCTCTTTTTTTCCTCGTAAAAGATATCTTGTAATACGTTCATGCAGCTACCTTGAAGTATTTTTAGTTAAATAATTCTACTTTAGCAACAAATTTGATTTCATGGGACAAAAAAGAAGTCAGTAGTAGTTGAAAGTTTAGCATGACTGGCGGTTCGAATATGGAGCTGCCAACATTATAATAAACTCCATTCATTTGACTTCATTAAGTCAGATATGACTGAAAGATTCTTGTTGACTTATTCCCTTTGCTTAAGTCTCTATTTTCTGCACTGTCTCTTTCAGACCATCAAATATAAGATTGTAAAAATCCCAACATGCATGTAAATGGTTCAAATCATTTTCAGCTTAATGTGTCAAAGCCGGTGCTTATAATCACATAAATGTGAACAAAAGATCAAACAAATGATACTATTAAATTCTACAACATCCCTCCTGTAAATATCATGGATAATATCTTAATGTTGTCCCCAGCAAGCATTAACTCACTTATTTAATTTTAGAATAGAGCGCACTAAAGAATAAAAGAACTGGAAATGCTCTATGGTGGTAAATGCCATACCCTTCCCCAAGCGAATATACTTGATAAGACATCTTTGCCACAACTAATCCGAGAAGATCATGTGAGAAACGACCCTCAATCAAGCTTCCTGCTGCAGGACTGAACCACTTCTTTTCAGATTGAGTTCCATCATAATAAGCATCTTCCCAAGTTAACATCCTGCAAGAAATTTGAACCGATTAAGAAAGAAATACAATCTTTAGATGGCAGCGAAAACTCTTACCTAAGAACATGGCAACCAACATCGTACACTCTCTAGGACAACAAATTCATCAGCCCAACACTTCCACAACCATAAACCAAACTTATATTTCTATTCACCTGCAAAATAGCATCATACAGTATCTAAATTTCCAACATAAAAAAGAAAAACCAGCCCAATAAATCTCAAATGGCGAAAAAAGACCATTCATGGTAATTGATACAAATAACACTGCAAAGCTCAATCACAAATTTGTATCACATATTTTCTCTTATGATAGTTTAAAAAAAAAAATCTTCATTTATTACATATTTATTTATGCTCGGCCCTGATTGAGAGCCCATGCGAAGTTAGAGATTTTGGCGGCTTGAAAATCTCGTGCGCTAGTAAAACTGCATCTGTTTTATCTTTCTGTTTTTCGAGAAATCGTCTCACAGTCCCAACCAAAGAAAATAAATAAATTTAACAGATGAAGAAAACCAAAATGAACGTCATTAATAAACGAAATTCATTAGCAAATTTGCTTACTTATGGCCACATGAGCAGCAGGTTCTCGTGGGTAATTCTTGGTTTCTGTATATATACAGCCTGTAGCAATACTGCATTCACATTGAGCAAGATTTTTTAATCCCTAATTTTTTTACGGATATACAAATGCCAAATAATATTTAGATTCAATTTTTAATTTCTCAACCACCTTCGAAGACCATTGTCAATGACAAGTTCAAGGCAAGACCGATAGCAATGACTAAGAGCATTCTCTGCAGCCGCATGATACCCAATAGAAGTCTTGTTCTTTCTCAAACAAATCGTACATACCTGATAAGTAGTTAAGTACTCCATCTAAGCAACTGTTGTCGTCGTCCACGAACATATCTTCATTTGCCCGACCACCGTCGCTTGTGAACTACCCGGGCTCAGTTGACCGCTTGTCAGCATCCCTGTACACACACTGCGCCGCTGCCACGACACTGTGACCGCCTCCGTGTGGCGGCGCACCTGCAGGTAGCCCACGCCGGTCATCGGTGCCAGAGGTGGTGGGTACTGGGTAGCTCCGCTTAGGATTTTTTTGGTGAAATGTTGTGTTCTTTGAAATTGAGTCAACTTGAAATCGGGAAGGTACGATTAGCTTTGGGAAATGGAAAAGAATGAATGGTATTCCTTAATTTTGGGCCGACAAAAGTAAGAAGAAGAAGGAATGGCTTTGGGCTGACAAAAGGCTGACAAGACACACCCAAAAACAGTGAAAAAGCTAAAGGCCACATGTTTAGAAAATAGAAAGACTTTGTAGTAGAGATGGTAATTTGTGTTAGATCAGAGGATGCTTAAGTAATTTTTCACTCAAATGGCCAAACTGTAAAAATAAGGCAAAAGCAGGGGTATTTTGGTCCGAGAAAAATGCCAAGTGTCAACACCTCAAATCCCTTACATTTTTGCTTATATGTAAGGGGGAGATACTCATGTTGGGCTATTTATATTTCTGCTTGTCATTTGGGCCAGTAGTTTGCCAAAGTTGTCATTTTAGGCCCATATTTTTTTCGTAGGCTCTTTGGTTCTTATTGAAAAAATGACACCTTGACTATCTCCTTACACATTTTACAATAAAAGGCATGTTTACTATTTAAACAGTTTTACTTCAATTCATTTTCATATATACCCCTATTTCAAATTTTTTAATAAATAAA